ATGATGGAGTCCAATTAATAGTGAAGCATCATCCCATGTCCAACAAAGATTGCTTTTAAAAATGAGCAAAAAAAGATCTGAATCCTTAATTACTTGAATGAGCACAAAATGATCTAAATCCATTAGCCTAAATCAGTATATAGGTTACGTAGAGCTAGGAATTTTCTAATACTAACATATGGAATGCATAAACTAAGTGTGGATGCTATTGACTCAGCAAATGATAAAATAATATGCATGCTTGATGATTGTAGAAAGTGCATAGAAAGTGCACCAACCAGGTGGTGTTGAAGTATGATAAAAATATAGAAATTAGTAACTTGAATCACTCGTCTATGGCCAGTACCATCTTAATGGCTGTAAGTGATTTCAAGAGGCTCATCTAAATGAACAAGAAGAAAGTATACACAAATATTTGGAAAATTATCTTCTTTCAAACAACAAAAATTATTCTAAGATGTTAAAACACACTCACTTTTAAATCTGTTCTTGGTCACGAAGCCTCAGAGTACTTGCATGAAGAAGAAAAAAAGAAACAACTTTGTTGACAATTACATATTTTTTATTTTGTCAGAAGATTCCTCCGAGTCTTTTTTTTTCAATTGAATTGAGTAAGGTAAACAGAAGAATTCTTATTCTACATATTCTAAGAGCGGAGCGAGTTCCATTACCTATTGAGCAATTTCAAAACCAAGCTAGCCTAGGATTGCATTACCATTGCAACTTTTGTGTCAGCGTCATGGCCAAGCCTGCTTAATGCGTTCATGACGTTGATCTGTACAGAACACTGAAACTATGCTTAGAAAGGGTTAAAACGGGTATCGAGTCATTTTTCTTGGTGGTGCAAGGCAAAAAAAATAATGTAAAAAGCAGTAATCACATTACAAGAATACTAATCCAGATGGAATTTAGCGTTCAAAATAGACATGACAGTTAACTAGCTATTTTGGTAGCATTTTGTTTACTTTCAGCTGGGAAAAACATACAGAGCACTAGTAAAATTTATAAATGAAAAACAAGTAGCTTGTAGCCCACAGAAGAGGGAGTCACATTTTAGTTGCACCAGTATAAGGAAAGATGATAGGTCATGCACACAAGGTCTTTATTTCTTCTTTTCCCTAATTTATACCCTACATTAAAAAAAATATAATTGGATTGGACTGTGTTTAAAGCCTAAACCCTTGACAAATTATGGGCTAATAGAATAAATCTTGAAAGGAGCAAGACTGAGCAGGGCACACCTTAGCCGCCCTGAGTTTGAACTGCTTACATGTTTTATTATGCTATTTTAATGAATGTGCCAACAAGAGTTTCGATTTCAGCAGTATTTGTTCTTCTACTTCCAGAAAAGATTCTCAAGATCAGGAAAAAGGATTTTATTTTCTCTCTTTGGCTATCTGCTCAGACTTGTCGACAATAGGAAATAGTTTGAGAACAACAAACATTGAGCTACTTGTTGGGTTTTTTGATACCCAATAATCCCGAGCGATGATTTAAAATAGCTGTCGAATTATTTATTGACACCATGGACTTGGCTCAGCTCGAAGACATACTACACTTTTGGATAGCTTGGGTTTGGGTTGGATTATTATTTGGTTAGTTGGACCATTTAGTGATTAATATGGAGTTGAAAATTGGCCCATTAGTTATTAGGTTTTACTTGGCCCATGTTGTGATGTCTAAGCCCAATTGGAGTGACCTAACCTATACAATATATAGTTATCTCTTCTACAGCCGTAAATGTATGGTATGTGGTTGTGTGTGAGTTGAGGGAGAGAAGGACGAGAGTGAGAGATGGTCGAGAGGTGAGGAGAAGTCGGTTTCAAAAAAATATGGAGAGAGTTTTCACCATTGTTGCTTTTTCATCTTCCCGTTACCACTACCATCCTTTCTCATTTGTTGGGATTGAAAGAACGAGGGCTGTCCAAAGTTAAGGCGAAAGTATCGGTTCGAGCCGAAGTAAATCAGTGTTCGTTTGATTATTTTCTGAGCTCGAAATCAAGATTTATCAAGGGATTTCTGTGATAAATGGTATCAGAGCTTGTGTCGTTGATAAATATGTGATTTTTGGGGCTAAAAAGGGGCAGGAAGTGGTCGAAAATTGATCTAGAAAATAGGCAGAAAACTGGACGAAATCTGGGCAGTTTTTTGCAAAACTGGACAGATATATTTTTCCGTTTTCTAGTGAAACCAAAAAGAGTTTAGCAAAACGAACACCACCGGTGGACTGTGCAGGCAGAGAAGAAGTCGGAAGGGTGACAGGTCGCTGAAGTCGCCGGAGTGGGAACGCCATCAAGGCGCATTAGGGCGCATCGTACAGAATCCGACGACGACGTCTTCAGACAGAATGTTGTTGATAATTGATGGACCCTTCGGTGTTTTTGAATTTCAATTTGGAGCAATACAGTGAAAGTTGGATGATTTTGTCCTTGGACGTTCGGGTGCCAAGTGCCGTTTTCGTGTTGCTGCGATTGTTGGTGGCTTTAGAGCAAACAGTGACGATCCCAAAGTGGTGATTTCACGTCTCTCAATATTTACGGACCTTTAGACGTGGTCCGCTCGGTATCGTATTCTTTACCTTTTATTATTGCAATTAAAATATTATTATGGTGATTATTTATTTTTCGCATTAGAAGTCATCGTGTAGGGTAACGTTAGTTTGGGGTTATCGTGAAGGGGTAATCATTGCCTATTGCTAGACCTAGAAATTATATGTTAATTAATTGAAATTTCATGTGAATTTGTCACAAATTTTTCTATACCGATAGAATTGCATGTGACCTTAGAAAAGTTTGCTTGGCTATTCTGTATGAATTATGTGTCAGTACTTTGCTAGTGGTCATTATTTGATATTGTTGGCATGTATAGGTCTAAGGCAAGTGCGAAATATAAAATATATTTTAACTATGGTAAAATTTGGGCATAGTTGAAAGAGATTGTCATAGGGATGATAATAAAAGGAAAGATAAGATGAGGATGGAGACGATGCGAATGTGACTTTAGGGTCAAGTAGTGATTCTAGTGAGGTTTATTGAGAGAATAAACCTGGTTACTGCATTGCATCTGTGTAATCCTTTCTGCATGTATGTGGTCACTTAATTTTGTTGTAATGTTGATGTTACACTTTCAATATGTTTGAAGTGTATAATTGCATGAATTAGAGTGATTTATTACTTTGTGCAATGTGTTTACATGTATAGTCGGTTGAGATTTATGGCATACTTTATTTGGTCTGTGAGTGGTGTGAGAGTGTGGTAGTAAGAAGAAAGTTGGGCAGCCGTTTATCTTCTTTATTTTTGTGAGCCTGTGTGGTTTGTGAGATTACGTGATGTAGCCATGTTAGGGTTATCTTCTTTCTCTTTGTGAGTTTCTTTTGTGAGTGTAGTGAAGTAACCGACTCTTTCTTCGATTCTCTTTGATAGTGCAATCTTCACTATTATCTTTGTGGATTTTTTGGAGCATTGGCGAGTGGGGTAACCTTTGTGGTCACTGAAAGGTGTTGATTTGCCATAGTGAGTTTGAGATGCATTAGTAGTGAGTTGGATGTCTTTTAGTAAGGTGGAGTATAGATGCCTAGGGGTACATGATGTTTTGTACCGGGGGATGTAGAGTGTGATATTTGGATCACAAGTGGAGATGTGATCAAATATGTAGAATCATTTATCTGTGAAAGAAACCCTGTACCGGTGGAGTGCGAGAGAGGCACTTCTATCACTTCTGTAAGGTGGAGTCTCATTATCCACGTAGGTTGGGAGAAGTGATGTGGTGATAGAAGATTATCCCTTGAATTTAGGATCTATTGTGACCTACTAGTTAGACATGAGTTGAGTGATCAGTCTAGTGAGCATAGTGGGAGATGAAAGGAGATATGTGTTCTCGAGGTGTAAGCAACACGGAATGAGATAAGGTAAGTGTGGTGAGATCTTTCGTGTTGTCACTTATGCATTTATTTCATATGTGTTTGATCGTGTACTGATTAACTTGGTGTTAATCTTTGGTTCTGTGTAAACGTGATTTTGAAAAGATCTCTGTGTGTGTTATCCTATATATTTTCATCCCATGATTGTTTGTTCACTATAAATACTTGTTCCTACTTGGGTTTTTTTCAGACCTTAGCCTTGGTGAGTATATGAAACAGGTATGGTGTGTGTTTCGATTCGAAACACGAGGTAAGGTCTAAGATACCAATTTTATTGGATTACCTTGATTGTGCAAGTTTGAACTTTGTGTTTTGGTTACTTGCAGATTATTGGGTATCAAGGTGGAGATTGATGAATTTTTTTATACCCAATAATCCCCGGAGATGATTTAAAATAGTTGTCGGATTATTTATCGACACCATGGACTTGGCTCGGCTCGGAGACGAACTACACTTTTGGATGGTTCGGGTTTGGATTGGATTATTATTTGGTTAATTGGACCATTTAGTGATTAATATGGAGTTGGAAATTGGCCCATTAGTTATTAGGTTTTACTTGGCCCATGTTGTGATGTCTAGGCCCAATTGGAGTGACCTAACCTATGCAATATATATACATCTCTTCTACAGCCGTGAATGTATAGTGTGTGGTTTTGTGTGAGTTGAGGGAGAGAAGGCCGAGAGGTGAGGAGAAGCGGTTTTGGAAAAATATGGAGAGAGTTTTCACCATTGTTGCTTCTTCTTCTCCTCGTTACCACTACCATCCCTTCTCCTTTGTGGGGATTGAGAGAACGAGGGCTGTCCAAAGTTAAGGCGAAAGTCTCGGGTCGAGCCGAGGTAAACCGCTATTCGTTTGATTGTTTTCTGAGCCTAAAATCAAGATTTATCGAGAAATTTCCACGATACTACTAATGCATTTTTACCCCAAATGAAGACTTGCAAATATCGAAGGATAGATGTCACCTTTGGGTTTGAAATGCAGAGGAGACCAAGCGTTAGAGGAAGTGCCTTTCTAATATTCTGCTCCCATACTGTAAAAGATGCTTCAATGAGCGAATAGCCATCTCAAGCCCCAGTTCCTCAGCCATTGCTACCATAGCAATTCCAAGTACGGCAGGTCCCTGGTATGTTTCTCCCTTCTCAAGATGCTGTGCACATTGACCAAGAAAGTGTTGTACCTGTAGTACAAAAGCAGTTAGTAACTTAATTAACTTAGCACCACTACCAACCTGAGTCCAACAGCACAAGTTCATAACCTTGAGAACGTTTCCAGTCCCAGCATAGGCACATGAAAGCAGCGTCATGTCACAATGGTTTCTAATTTTCTCATTAAATGTCTTTGAAACCTCAGCTGTTTCCTCCACACTTTCCTGTCAGAAATGAATACTTTGAATTAATACCATACTGAAGTCCACCTATGGCAATGTTTTGGCGTCTGTCTATAGCAAGTAAATATTTAGGTAAGGGTTGTTGACCCTTACATAAATAATCAAGAAAGTTATTGATCTAGTCATCACACTTCGACCTCTTCAAAAGTGAAACCGAAATCTACAAAAGCGCACAATCTAATTAATTGAAATTGTAAAAAAAATTTAAGATGAAATTACAAAAATTGATATGCATTCTCTCAGTCACACAATAATTATGAATTTCTTCCCAGAATAAAGATAAAAGCACAGTAAATAGAGAGAATAGCAGCAAACAGAAAGAAAACTAAAATGCCTTTCGAATGTTAAAGTAATGAAAACAAAATACAGAAATTTTTGAGTATGTTAGGATTTTTTATTTTGTGTTGTCCAATTAAAACAGGAATTTTTATTGTGTGCTTTCTAATAGAATAGGATTTGTGTTATCCTATGTATTATTGGAGTCGTTAATTGTTTCCTAGTACTTAAAATAAGATTAGTTAACCATGTCCATAAAACCTACCATTTTATTTTCTATATCCCAAATTTAAGATGGTCATAGACGATCTTTGAGTGAAACTTGCGGATCCTTTTGGGATGTGAGGAGGGGTTTGGAGTGTGTGAGAGATTTATACGATTGTGTAAATTTCTTGTTGTGTATATAGCTCTTATAGAGTGAACTGGATCAAATTGGCGGATATCGGAGCGGAGCGGAGTGGAGTGACAGGAACCTAGGATACCAAACAGAAATTTATATTTTTTGGCTTCTAAATGAATTCCTTGAATGAGGATCATGTGAGCAACTCGAGGAATTTTCAATTCCTGACAAAATATAAGTTTTGTGACTTGTAGAGCTGCTTTAGGATCTACTTAGTGAAATATAATTTTCAATTAGTAAATGACTACATTTATATGAAAGGAATGTGAATGTCTTAGTCATTTTATAATTTGATAGGGTTAAATCTAACAAACAGTCTTATTCGAACTCACAGATTATATGTTATTTTCTTAACATAAATTTCTCTCCTTGTTACTCACAGACTTGAGCGAGTGTGCCCAAGGATTTTCAGTTTAAAGGAACAAGTACCTCAATCACAATGGAATTGATTACAAAACTTCTAATTTGAAAAATAAAACTTGAAGCAAGATAAGGAAGAATTATGAAGGAATATTCTCTTCGTGTGATTCTACAAGCATACGGATCATGACAAATAGTAAAATGGATTGTTAAATTCAAGTATCATCCAACAAAGACTTCTATTTACTGTAAAAAATAAAAATAAATTATTGACCTAACTTCAATCTAAGTCAAACAATTAACTAATTATCGATTCGAGATATGTTTCGCAACTAAATTCAAAACGTAAATAACTGCGATGATCTACTTAAAATATGATTGAAAAGGTTATGAGATTAGGAAGTTACGATTTTTGAGTTCACTTAGGTAGTTTAACATTCATGTAATTTCAAGTCACGACGAGCAACTACAAGGGATAGGCGAAATGAAGAAACCCAATAATCAAAATTATATCACATGGCAAACTTGTATGAAATCGAATCTCCAAGGACAAGATCAAAATTTTTTTGACTTCTAAATAAATTCTTTGAACAAGGATCTTGTGGACAAATCGAGGAATTGACTTCAATTTCCAACAAAGTATTTTTTTTGGCTGTCAATTTACAGACTTGCATCGTTACTTTAGGATCTACTTAGTGAAATATAATTTTCAGGTAGTAAATAGTCACATTTATATGAAAGGAGTGGTTTTGTCATTTTATTGTGTGAGAGCATTAAATCAAGCTCATAGTCTTATTCGAGCTCAAGGATTATACGTTATTTTCTTAACATAAATTTCTCTCCTAAGTATTTACATATTTGAGCGATCGTGCCGAAATATTTTCAGTTTAAAGAAACAAGTATCTCGATCACAATGGAATTGATTAACAAAACTTTAATTTAAAATATAAAACTTGAAACAAGATGAGGAGAAATTATGAAGGAGTATTCCACAAATTTTAGAGTGAGTATATTCTATTTTGAAGGCTTAATTGACAAATTAACGGATATCTTGAAGGCTCTATTTATATCGTGACATGTGGTTATTGGAGAAAGTTTTAGGGAAAAATTCGTATTTACATCATTACAAAATAAATTTTCAAATTATAGTATGTTATGTTAACAATCAATAAAATACTATGTAGTTTGTTAAATATTTTAAGAAATACTATATTCCAAATTTAGACTCATACACTCTCATGTAACTGACCTTTTTTAGAATTTTCCTAAGATTAAGCCTTTTCATTTAATTTCTGTCCAAACTCAATGCAAAATTGAAAAAGCAGAATAGGCAAAACTTACCCAATTAATTACGTAGTCCCTTTGTATGGATGTGTAATGTCAAATATAGAAAATAATAATAAAAAAAAAAAAAGGACTTACATCTTTTCAAATTTTGACTTTCATTTTGAGTTGTGTTACCCCAATTCAAAACAATTGCAACATTGATTTTATAATGTCTATGTGTTCATCAAATATGACATGTTAATTTCAGATTTTATATGAAGTTATTTATAAAATTCTTGATTTTGGTATCGTACACAATTAGAAAAAATGGTGTATCATTGAATATATATTATGCCCACGGTAATGTATTTTTATGTATTGTAGAAAAAAAGGTGTATCATTGAATATGTGTGTGTGTGTTGTAAACGTTTTTATTTGTTTTTATAAAAAATTGTGATTTATCTGTGAGGTGATTTGTGATTTTCTAGATAAGGGGATTTGGGATTTTGACTTTATTTTATGGAAATTTGGGTTATCTTTGATAAAGACTACAATTTTGGGATTTCGATAAAATAAAATTTGGACTTATTTGGTGGAGTAATAGAAGTTGTCCAATAAAATCAATTTATATATAGTTGTTTATTGTTTTTATTTTTTACTTGGTAAAATGCAGTGATAATGATAAAAAAAATGTTGGAATGTATTGCTTGAATGTTTATTTTAAAGTGGGTAATACATGTAATTTCCTCAAAGGGTTACCAGTTTTAGGCTACTACAAGTCATATAGAACACATTCCAATGCAAACTTCTTGTTATATGGGCTCGTCCAGCCCATGACGAAAAAAAGCCCAAGTCTCTTTATTTTAGTTTAGGTCAACAAAAGTGGCTACATATAGATTTTTGGGTGCGTGAGAAAGAGTGAGAGAGAGACAAAATTATTGGCTTTCAATTTGTGTGAGAAAGAAATACAAAAGCGATCATTGTGAAAAGTCAAAAATTGTGGCTCCGATTGAGGAAAAACAATAACAATTGCTGTTGAGAGAAAACATAGAGTGCCGTGAGAGAAAGAGATCACCGGCTGGGAAAATTTGGAGAGAAGAAAAAGCTGGAAATTGCTGCTCAATTTCTTCTTGAGGTGTGGTACACATAGGTTTACTTTCCTTCTCTACATAATACAAATTGTAATTTTCTCTAAGTTTTATTTTGAGTTCATAGGTGTAATATTCAAAGTTGGTTCTCATAAGGTTAATTAATTTGGTGATTTGTGGTGAGATAAATTGTTGTCTTAGAGATTGATTATTGTGGTAATTTCAATTTGTAGAGAATTCAAGTTTTGGGGCATAAACTTGAATATTATAATTTATATTAATTATTATAGTAGATTTTGGCTGGAATTGCCCCGTAGTTTTTTCCCTCTACATTGGAGGGTTTTTTCCACATAAAAACTTGGTGTTGTGTTTTTTATTATTTTTGTTTGGATTATTTATTTGCATAGTTAATCATTATAGTTAATTACTTAAATTGGTAAATTTATTCTTACAATAATTGAAATTGCCCAACAAACTTGACCAAAAGAAACTATATAAGGATGGAATGACAAGCCAAAAATATATTCGAGAGCGATTCATTCTTTCCCAACGTAGCATACAACTCTCTGTTGTACTACACTCTCCAAGTGTGATTGTTCCTCCCTTATTCTTTGCCCTACGTGTTTTTGTGAAATAACTCCGATGAGAACTAGCCCAACCCTAATACTTTATTGAAAAATCAAAGGAAAAACATTTTCATTAAAAGTCAGAAAAATTTTGATAAAAGTTCAAAAAAAAAAATCAAATATCTAATACATGTAATATTTCATAAATGTATAGCACAACTTGAACCCATTATCATCTTTACTAGCCTTAATACTATATAAGGCCCGTTTCATGCCTTTTCTTTTGTAAAAGAAGTTACTTTAATTTTTATTTTTAAATATAATTTTCAAATGCACTTCTTATTTCAAAAGTACTTTTTGAGAAAGTCACATTGAACCCGATTTTCTTTAAGGGTGTGTTTGATTATAAACATGAAATTTACATAGAAAGAAAATAAATTCTAGGTAATTGAATTGCTAAAAAATTATTTACATGGAATTTATTAATTAAATATGTTTGGTTGATTTTATCTTCAACCTATAAAATGTCATACTTGTTTATTTTTTATTGGTAAGTAGATGAAAGAAAAAGAGAGAGCAACTACTTAGAAAATAAAAACCTACTCCCCTCAAAGAAAATAATTTCCTTGTTTCCAAGAAAAATATAGTCACGTGACTAAAAGTATGAAAATATTTTTCATGAATAAAAATCAATTAAACGGCACAAAAGTATAACTTTGGGTGGAAAAATATTAGCAATCGAACGTACTCTAAAAGTCCTTCTAACTAGAAAAAAATACTTTCGTAAAATCACTCAAACGGTTGGATTTCAAAATCTCTGTTTGACTTTTCAAAAGCTATACCATATGGGCCCATATTACCTCACTTCGATAATACATAACTATTTGTTTATATTTAGCCCTCTCTAGGCTCCAAATCAAATTAATATCAGAAACAATTACATACAAAAATGGGAGGTAAATTGGTTCGTTCGACTAAGGTTGAGCCAATTGGCCTGTGTCCTTGTTGACGTCCATTATAAGA